ATTCGGTAAATATTTTTACTAGTATTTACTTTATAGTAACAAATCAAAATTTGTATATGATGCATGTTTTAAAGATGACGATCAGTTAATTCGCAATTAGTATGTACGGGTGTTGTATTTATACGATAAATACTTACTTTAAAAATTTTAAATTCCGCTGCGTACAGCCCGTACGGTACTATCGAACCCAACACATATGGGTTTACTTCCAGACCTTAATTTTCCATTCTTCAACAACTGACTAAGGTCCATTGAAAAACAGATTTTGCATTTTGAAGTGATGGCAAAAATCCCAAGAAGATGCAAAATTATTGATAGTTTGCAGAACATAAACCATCCATATAGTTTTGTTGCTCTCTTACCTTATATCATGTTTCTTATTATATTACTCATTTCATTTGCAGGTTCACAGCTCATTGCAGAACTAAATGAGATTTGGCTCATGAAGTTGTGGATGAGGCTGGACACTAGAAAAAGAAGCTTAGCCCTCAGTGTCGGGAGCTTTTTGATTTTCTGCCCACTGCAATCCATGAACAATTGATGCTCGAGAGAGATCCTAATGGAAATGTCCAAGTATGAGTTTTTTCTATCCGAGCTTAAGCTTCTAGGACTCCTAATTGCGGTCATGTTTTGCATGGTTTGGATGTTATATTTTTTTAGTACTGTAGCTTTATAAAAAATTTATATTTTTAACTCGATATGGTATTTGAATGAATACATGAAAATCTAAAAACTGGGAAATACTAGAATAAGAATCTTCTTTTTCTGATTAATGTATTCCAAAGTGCGATATTTGATTCGTATTTGAAGATATATATATATATCACTAAAATATAGTATTTGGCACTTACACTGGATTTATATATAGGTTTTATAAGAATCCCAATCTATTATGTTCAAACATGTGGTGACTGAAGAATTAAATTTTTAATTGTTCGAGTATATTAGATTTCGATAGCTGCTATAGGGTAGTTCTTGCAAAGTATGTTGTGGATGCAAGTTCTAGACTAATATTGGTAATTTTTATGTTTTCTAGACTAACATGTTTTTGTATTTTCTTCTGTACCCTATAGGTTGCCACAATCGAAACCGAGCAAAATGCTTATTCAAATGGTTGTGGCTGAATTGGAGGCCAGGAAGCAGGTTCCTGCCTACAATGGCCAATCAAGGGGCAGTTTCACTTTTTCGGGTATTTTCTTCACGACTGGTTTATGAGTACTATATGAGCAGCTGTCAAAGTATGGAGACACAAAATCCGCAAGAGCTATCATGCTCGTCGAGCTTAAGAAGCTAATCGAGGAAAATCCACTGTTTCGCAAAAAGTTACAGTTCCTGAACCTTAAAAACTCAAGACTGCGAACCCTCATCAACCAAAGGTGGATATCAAACCCTTTTTTTCTGTATAATCATTGTTTTGAAATGTGATCGTGTGCAACATTGCCTATTTTTTATGTATATCATGGCCAGTTTTTATATGTACATTTCAAGACTTTGCTTTGATATTAATTGTCCGGTGAATGTCCACTGGAGGCTGCTATTATCATTTTCATTGCAAAGAGAGAGTTGAGGAAATATGCATTTGCAGCTTAAACTGGCAGCACCAACTTTGTAAAACTTCAAGGCTGAACCCGGATATCAGAACCCTCTTCGTGGATCACTCATGCGGCAGTAAAATGGAGCACGTGCTCCCTCACCAGTTAATTATCCCTTGCTTGGCGGGGCTGTGCCGAAACCCGGTGGCTTTCCTCTTCTCGGTGCACATGTGGTGAGTTTTATGGATATTTGTTACTGTATCTAGGCAGTGGCTTTGTGTTAGGGTTTATCATGTTTTTCTTAATGTGGCTATATAATTTGAATTGGTCAGCCCTACCAGCCTGCTCCGGCACCTGTCTTGACTCTTTTTGCTGGTTGGATGTCTAATCCGCCGACTGGAGTCATCCGGCGGTTTCTGGTGGGCCCATTGTTCTTGGTGCTCCACCAATTCCAGGTAGAGATTCTTATGTTTTTTGTATATCAAACTTCTACTTTGGCCAAGAAAATAATTCTGTGAAACTTGTATTGCTTGTGGGGCTGTGCCGAAACCCGGTGGCTTTCCTCTTCTCGGTGCACATGTGGTGAGTTTATGGATATTTGTTACTGTATCTAGGCAGTGGCTTTGTGTTAGGGTTTATCATGTTTTTCTTAATGTGGCTATATAATTTGAATTGGTCAGCCCTACCAGCCTGCTCCGGCACCTGTCCTGACTCTTTTTGCTGGTTGGATGTCTAATCCGCCGACTGGAAGTCATCCGGCGGTTTCTGGTGGGCCCATTGTTCTTGGTGCTCCACCAATTCCAGGTAGAGATTCTTATGTTTTTTGTATATCAAACTTCTACTTTGGCCAAGAAAATAATTCTGTGAAACTTGTATTGCTTGTGGGTTTATGAAACTGGACAGTAAGAAATTTGGGACGTTTTAGATGAAATTATGTACCTGTTTATTAAAGCATGTTATACTTCACTAAGTGTTATTCTGGAATTTTAGTTCATATATCAACAAGGATTGTTATTAGGAAGTACATGCTATGCTTTCCATGATACAAGTACTTAGTATGCAAATTGCATTAGTATATCCAAATATTATTGTTAAAAGTGAAAGTTATTTCATCAAGAAATGCAAAATAGACTCTCTAAACTTTGGTGATTAGGCAGTTGATAATTTCCCCTGGATTCAGGAAAGGACAATGTGAAAGCCTAACTGTCGTCCTGGTTATTCATGAGGGACATAATCATTAATGTGCAGAAACACCTGTTAAGAGTTGTTTCAATATAATGCTTGGTGAGCTTCAAGTTGCCTAAATGACTTAACAATTTGTTGCATTCTGCAGCTTCCCTTAAGCACCCAAGGACACCACCAACAAATCCCGTTGAATTTCCATCTGCTGACTCATGAACATCCGAGTAAAAATACCAGGCAGTTGAGAATTTCTGATCACGTGTTTGAATTTTTNNTTTGTGTTCCAGCATAATTCTATTTCCTGATATTGCTTTTCATGTTCTCATATTCGTTATTTATAAACAGGTAAATCTTCCAGTGAATGTTCTTCCGGTTTGGGCTTTCCCAGGGCACCATAGCTAGCCTTCCTTCAGTGCACCAGATGACTTGCCTAAGACAGTTGCGCGCACTTTGAACCGAGGGTCGTACCCTATGAGCATGGAGTTTCACCGGATCCAACAAACTTTGCTTCTTGGTTGGTTCTACAGCCAGATAAAATATCTTCAAAAAAGTTTTATTCTGTTATTACTATTGTCATGTAAAAATCTCTGTAAGCTAATTGGTTTTAGTTGTACGTTGATAACTCAGTTGGCACCAATCTAAGAGATTTTGGTTTGTGGGAAGTTGGTTCTAGAGAGAGGCTCGTGCTGAGAAATTCGAAGGAGTTTTCAGATTTAATAAAAGTGCACTGGCTAAATGTGCTGCAACAACACTATCCTCGAAGCTCATTGGTGGCGAAAAGGAGTTTTTTTGCGACTATGGTGGTGGATGCAGTCATAGCCATAAGCCATTGGAAATGATGATAGATTAAAATATGGTTAGAATAAAAAAGGTAAATGTCTGGGCTGTTCTACTTCACGTCATTATTTTGAATCTTGCATTTTTGTTTAGCCCAATTATTTTACCGATTTTCTCTGTATATATACAATACAAAGGCTGGAAGACATACTCATACTCATTAAGATCAATATGTTTTCCTGTGTAATATTGATTTGAAGTGATTTTAGAGAATTTGTTGAAAAATAACTAAATTGTTTCAATAGGTAAATTGTTTCCATTGCTCTATAGCTGTAATAAATATTTTGGGTTCCTCAACATTAGTAAATAGGCATATAAACTTCTGCGTCAGGGGATCTTTAATTTTTTTTTTTGGGTAGTCTTGATTACTTCTTGCAAATACTTTAAAAACAAGTTTTCAGTTGCAACTAATCAGAGNTTTCCGCTTGTTTTGTTCCTCTTAAAACGAGGTTTGAGGTTAATTTGGAAAATATCAAACATGCTATCACTCAAATTTTTGAAGAGAATAAAGTTGTAATGAGTCCTTTATGATGAAAGCTTATTTTGTTAACAATTAGTGTAGAATTTAGATATGAACTAAACTGATCTTTACATCTAATCACAAATTTTTACTGTATTTTTAGACTAAATTTGAGTCCGCCGTGCGTGCACGGCGTGACCCAACTAATATATATCTCTCTTATCTATATATGAAGGAGTTAGACTTTTTGTGGTCTTGACAAGTGTCCAATTTAAACACTCTCGTTTGCTGACAAGTGTCCCATTAGCAAATTGGCAATTTTTTTTTTTCAAAGCCAGCAATTGAAACGGCGCCGTGTCATGATTTATTATATTTCCTGCGTTATTTTATTTTCCTTCTACAACTTTTTCTTCTTTCCCAGATACTAGTACGTAACCCGTGCGATGCACGGGATGTAAAATTTAGAAGAATAATATAACCTCACGTACATTAGGATCGAAATTGAAATCATTAAAGTATATAGGAACATTGTTGAATCATAAAAAGTTCGGTAACAATCATATATTATTAAAAATCTCCTTGTACACAACATTATGAGTTTGATTATTTGGTAACTCCTCATTATCATAAACTAATATTTTCAAAAGAGACAAATCCTAAAAATCAAACTAATATTTTTGGTGAACAAACTAATATTTTAGGATTGGTGAACAAACTAATATTTTAGGATTTTTAGGATTTGTCTCTTTTTGGTGAACAAACTAATATTTTATGATTGGTTATATGAATAAGGCTATCTGTTTTTGGTGTTCTTTTCATTCATTTTCATTCAAACAATCCGATGACTTGTATAATGAAATCCGAATCTTAAGCTGAAATATTTAAAAAAAAAAGAGTTTTTAAAATTGATAAGTTAAGGCAATCAGTTCAGATTAATTAAAGATAAAAGAATATCCGCTCCTTGAAACAAAGATGTGTGCTATCATTAACCAAATATCCAGTTATTGATATAGAGTGGTTACCACGCTTAATGGAAATATCAATGGGATAAGGTCATAACAGATCGCTATACATTTTAATCAGATGGAATGATTTATGATAATTATGTCGTAATTAATGAATTAATTAGATGTGTGAAAAAGACATAATTAATGAGAAGTGTGAAAAGGACATAATTAATGAGAAGTGTGAAAAGGACAAAAACTTACCGGTTTTGGAAAATATTTAATGCAAATCCGACATTGACTATAATTTGACCTACTATTTTGGATAAATTTCAATTCTTATTATGTAAGTATAGATTACTCGGAGCAGTTGGGATTTTCTTTACCAAATTGCGATTTTCTGTAAACTCTGCCTCTCTCCACGTCTTCTGTGAAGTGATTTCCATGAATTGTGTTCACTCTGTCGAAATTAACTTAATTATTAAGAATTTCTCAGTACATTTACTTTTCACCTATATTTCCATCCCCTCAAACCTGTATGTCTCTATTTTTTTTTCTCCTTCATCCCGACCACTGTTGCTGTTACTTCAAACAGGTCCTAGGCGTCGCCGGCCTGTGTCCGTTGGGGTGAGTCGCCGTGTAGTACTGCGACGGCACAAATAGGGCAGGGACTGAATTTAAACAAATTAGGGCAAATTGAGAGCTTGTTGGTATGCATGTGTATTGGCTCGCCAACTCAGAGCGGTGACCCCGTCGAGAAGACGCAACTGCAGACTCGTGAGTGCTTGTCGCCTCCTCTTGCTGATTCCCTACTCCGCCGTCCTTCTGAGTATGTTTCCTTGGGCAATTTCGATATCTTTTTTTGCTACAAATAAGACTACATGAAGAAGAAGTTATAAGAAACAATGAAAAATTGCTAATTCAATCCTTGCTTTGTTAATGGTGATAATGATTTTCTATTGGTGGTTTAGGTACTGTTGATGTCCCTGAAAACTGGTGGTGTGAGCTTGAATCTGACTGCGGCTTCTAATGTCTTTCTAATGGTATGTATAAGTACAACTCACAGGGGAGTTTTGCTAACTTTTTGTTTATATCAATTTTATAGTGAAGGTATGTATTGTAGAAGTAATACATTTGAAATATTGCATTTATTAGAAAAATTAAAGAAGCGATTTTATTTTTACTGTTCTTTTTCAATTAAGAAGTAAATTTTTTAATTTGTATGATTCTTATGGCTTGAATCTAATTTATCTTATATGCACACAGGATCCATGGTGGAATCCTGCAGCAGAGGAGCAAGTAATTATGAGAATTCACCGGATTGGCAAGAAGAGGACTGTCCATGTAAGAAGGTTCATTGTCAATGTGATTTTTATTTTCATACATCACCTTTTCTGTTTCAAAAAATCAATTTTTTTATGTTCAAACATCAGCCACTTCACGACCAACTGCTCGGGTCGTAGTTGATAGAATTATAAGTTTGGCTGGCCTGAAGATTACGTTTCTTGCTTCCCACCATATGCTCACGTTTCGGCCAATGCGCCGACTAAAGAGGACTGGTGAGCGACTGAGGTTCGAGGTCAACAACATGCAGACGTGGATGAGCCTCCTAAACCAACAAGGACACATGCACCGACGGGTTTGGACGACTTCCCAGCAATGGAGGACGTGTGTTACTGGCCGCTGAGGGTGAGGGAGGTGATGAGCAATGTGCTGGACCCAGAAAAAAAGGTGTGAAACTTTTCAGATCCAATGTTTGATCCTTCAAACCTATTTCAATTTTGTTTTGCGCGGCGAACTTTTCTGTGATAGCATTATCAAACCTTTTTTATGCCAGTGTAATAATAAATTGATCTGGACCTGTTCTGATGAATTGATGCTTTTCCTTGCGAGACTGTTCAAAATTTGGATGCTCAAATGAATTATAGTTAATTTGATGTGAGTTTTGTTTAGGTTAGTTGCTTGAGTATGGAGATATCTTGCTGAGGTACTTTGACTTTTTCTGTCTGGACAAATGTATCTCTTACAGAAGTTAACTGGACTTTGGAAGACCTTTTTTATCCTTGGTTAGTATTTATGTATTTTATAAACATTTCTGAGGTTTTTATTTTTGGGCGCAGTAGTCAGAAGGGATGAAATGAAGGGAACTGCCTCAAGCGCGTTAGGGTTCTCAAACAGGAGATAGTCGAGTATATTTTCAATGATCTATGGTCGAACGCCATTCTCTCCAGGTGATGTTCCCCTCAGGTAACTTCTATATATTTTATTTTGTGTTAACCTTATCAAACAACTTATCTATATCGCATTGTTAAGAATGCCGTGACATCCATCTGTGCAGAATCTCGAGCAATTGTCTAAAGTGCGTTTTTGGTCCAAGCAGTCAAATATAGGTACCCTAAATATTCATTCATATATTGCTGATAAACAGATGCTTAGGTTTTTAGTAAGAAGGTGCTGAAAAAATAAGAGGACCTGTCAAGTAGTGTTGTGAATTTAAAGCTTAAGACTCAGGGTATTATATAAAAATTGTGTAGTGAGAATATTTACAGTGGATTGATTTAGATGCTTCAAATAGTGAAGAAATTTTACTGGATCAATCTTTAATTGCATGAATCAATATTTAATTGCATGACCTTCAACACTTGGGGTGAAAACTAAAAGTAAAAGGAAAAAAGCCAATAAGATGCCAAATTCTTTCACTCTAAACTGGTTAGTGGTAAACTTTATAGCAGATTTACGTTTCGTTTTTAATGAACTATATACTTTGAGTTCTTAACACATTTTATTTTATTTTCATATGCTTATCTGCTTCACCACGGATAGTACTAATGTACCTGGTGTTGATGTAGGTTATGCAAGGTCTCATAGATCTTGGAGCACTTCATCGAGCATTTTATTTTATTTTTTCCTTCTTATTGTCGGGCAATAGAGAATCACAATGAAACTACAATCAGATAATAATATTTGGTCCTTTTAAAACATTGTTCATTTCAGATGAAGAGACCATTGCAGTTTTCCTTGGATAATTTTGTTGAATCAATGACCAGATCAGCCAGCATCAGACTTTTGTCTGTTGGGGTACATATTAACTTCTTAATCATCAATTGTGTTTTTCAATTAATCGTATTAAACATAGTCCATCATTTAACTATTTAAGTTTCAAGCATGCCTGGTTTTAGCCATATTTTGTCGTAATATCCAATTTTTTTGCCAGTGTGCAAGATAAAAACATTAAGAGTTATAGTTTTTCTTTTTGATGATTTATTTACAATAGTGACGTACCAACCATTTCGTTTTTCTTACACTTTCACATTTGTGCTGAGAGCATTTTCGACACTTGAAGGTTAGACCTATTTTTCTATATGTGAGAAAACGAAAAAAAGGTTGGTGGTGGAAAATATGAAGTTCATTATGGTAATGTTGATTCGTGTTCGGGATTTATTCAAAGTTACACGTATTGCTTACTAAGTTTCGGTCCCTTGTAGGAATGGCTATACTCTGGACCCAAATTTCTCACTCCCTAAGATCGATACGTCGCATGCTCAGGTTCTACTCATATTCTTTTCTTCTAATATCTAAAACTCATAAACATCTTCCTATAACAAATTTGAGCAGAAAATTTTTGTTGTGGTACTTTTAAATTTAAGACAACAACAACCAAATGAGAAGAACGCAACTTGTTCAACATTAAGAAAACAAGCTGACGAAGTAGTTTTGCCTGTATAGTTATTCTCATATTACATGGATGATAAAGTTATCTAATTATTATTATTGTTGTTGTTGTTATGCAAGGCAAGACTGTCCATAATTTACATGCTTATTGGGTCTAATACATCATGGAACAACTGGAGTCCAGTGATTTGAAGCTGCGTGTCTGAGTTCTTGAGGTGATTTTCTTTAAACAATTGGTTTCATCTACCTTCTACAATTACTGTCTATTTATCATAACCTAAATATACAAATATGATTCTCAGCTTCATGGTCACATATACTCAATTGTTCTTGATTTTTTTATTTTTGCCACCAAGAAGAGTTTGGAGAGAATTTTGTAGAAATGTTGGATTGGATATTTTCATGTGTTGTTTTATTCCCTTGATAACAACTTTATTGTGGTTCGTGACACGATTTGAATAATTTCTCTCGGTCAACGATGTTCGTTGATTGGCTGTGTATATCTGTAATATCTGTAAGAGAAGTTTTGCCTAGATATGTGTTATTATCTTATTCCTTTATAAAATACAGCTTAATCATTTTTCTTATTCGTTTATTGGTGAAGTGTTGTGCTTATAAAATTGAAGGTAATATTTCGTTTTGATGTATTTCTTTCTTTATGCAACTACTTCAGTTTTAAGTTCTAAATAAAGTTCTAAATACTGATTTTTATTGAAAGAAAGAATAACCGAGTTGGTATAATGTTGGAATTTTATACAACATATATTAATGAGGAAAAAAAAATGTTTGGAGGATATCCTCTAACAAAATTTTTTTATCATAATCTCAAGGGAAGCAGGTAATAGCTTTGTGACACTTGGTCGGGTAATAGCTACTTTGGTCGACCTATTCTGGTTATTGGCAAATAGGTATATGTACCTTCATAGCATTGTTGTGTACGTAGTTAGACATAACACATATTGAAAACAACACACCAAGGTAGCATATAGGTCGATGTTTTATTTTTGCCCATGGATGACTTATTTTGTCGTAGTGAAGTAAAATCATATGGAAGTTATAACTATTGTTGTCATTGTACAATGCAATTGATGCTTTGTTTCAAAGATGACTGTCGGGTCCAACCATGTGGCCAACTGGTCACCTGTTAGCATGGGCGATTTTTACTGTTAGGAGAGTGATCTAAAACGGCAAACAACTGCAGTTCAATTGAAAAAGGGATGGCGGAATCTAAACTATTTTGCTTCAACATGGTAGATGTTCAATTCAAGGGAAGATTTCTTTTCCCTTTAAACGTCTTCTCATGCTTTCATGTTCAACATTGTCTTTTAGTCACTTTGTTCTCTTTAAATTCCTATTCATGTTTCCTTTGTGTAATATTGTTTCGTTTTATTTTATTTCAGGAGATTTTAGTGGGCATGTCACTCAGTATAGTGTGATTATTAGAATATTGTAGTGAATGCATGTAGCTTATGTTCTCAAGGATACGGGCAATCGATAATACCAATCTCCTACTGCCTTAGCTATCGTCTGCAGCCAACAAATCCATACGAAAAAAAAAACGGAGATTATTATAGTTCGAAAGTTCCAATTACGAAAAAAATGTAGAATATTATACTTCGAAAGTTCGATGTAATAACCGTTTGGTTCAACGGAGCATTATATTTTTAACTAAATTTGAGTCCGCCGTGCGTGCACGGCGTGAGACCACTAGTATATATATATATGAAGAAGTTATAGGCCATTAAAAGGTGACAAGTGTCCACTTTTGTAGTCTTTAAAAGTTGACAAGTGTCCAAGTTTGTGTTCGATTTATTTACAATTTGAGCCACTTTATTTTGCTATTTTTGTTGCATTCATGTTGGTGTTTTTTCTTTTGGTCCTTATTTGCCCATTTCGTGGCTTCCAAGTTCCAATACAATTCATTGGTGATTTTTTTTTTTGGTGAATTTAATTTCTCTGTACCTTTTTTCGGAATTCCCGGGTCAACACAATTTCTTTCTCGCACAATTCTCGCAAACGCAAGTTGGATGGAGACGGGAGCAGGTAAAATCCCTCTTTACAAACCCTACCCAACCAAATTACTCTCATTTACAATTTTCAAAAGGAGCTACAATGAGTGTCAATGACGACTCGAACGATGACTGACTACCAGATCACCGACTCAACCAGCTCCGACAACGGCTTTATCATGGGCTTCTTCGCCTTCTCTCGCCGAGAATCGAGCCCCAGGGCATCCGACACCTCCTCGGAGCTCCACCTGCCCTTTTGGAGCACATCGGAGAACCGATCCGCTTTCAGCGGCAGGGCGTCCATTATCATTTGGTTGTTGACCATCACCATCTCGCTATCAAATAAACCGGACACCAGCACCTCGAATTTCAACCATCCACCCTCCATCAGAACCGGCCCAATTCAGGTCACGTAGTCGTCGAGGATGAGGATGATTTTCCTTCACTTTCTGATTATTAAATCCAGCCAACGAGAAAAAAGAGGACGAGGATATAAGCTCAAAATACGCTCGTTGGCTTGCCTAGATTGCTCTGGGATGGAAGCAAGGTTTTCTATTTTCATTATCGGACTTCCCAAAGAACATTCAGTGCGCACGAGAGTTCACCAATTCTCCATGAAATAGTGATGCGAAATGGAAGGTAGTAAGAGGTGACTGAGAGCAAACCATTAGAAGAATTGAAAGAGATGTGAAAAAGAGTATTATTTATAGTTTTTTGTTTTCTGTTTTTATTAATCTGTGACTCTGTATAACTGTGGCCAATATCCTTTTTTTGGTTCTGTTTTTTTATTATTGCTAATATATGTGTTTTAATTACATATCTGACATGAAAGAAGCTGAGGTTTAGTGACAAACATTTGGCTTTCCATTCTTCTGTTCTTTTTCGTGTGTGATTTTTTTCGGAAGGTGAAAGTTTTATGTGTATTGATGCCAAGGTAGGTGCTGAGGTTTGGATGGACTGGGATATTTAGAAAGTATTTGGTGGCCGCGCTCGAACAAAGAGCACGGAAGGCAGTCCTTGACCTGCTCCGACGATGTGGAATCCCCACTAGGACTACAAGATCTGTGTCTGGTAGATCGATGCGAACTAACCCAAGTTAAAAAAATTGCCATCCTGCTAACCCTTGCGATCGGTGCACGCATCTGTTCTACACCCAAAGGTACGTCAATGTTCGTCGGCATAGACGGTGTACAATGAAGCTGCGGTTGAAAAGCATCGAGAAGGTCCGCATCGGAGGCTATGGTAGATGGACGCAACGCCAAAATGTCTTCACCTGTACTTGAAAATATGTTTTACGGGATTGTTAGGTTTAATTTGTACCCTGGTATTGTTGACTAAAGGTTTGTTAGGTGCTGCAATTATGATATAATTTTTTTGAATGTGAAAATATGCTATTTTTCTAATGAGCACTAAGTTAAAATTTTCTAATGACCATCCGGATAATGAAATGTTGAAATGTTATGGATCAAATTAATGTGTACAAGAGTGCTCGCAAACGCAGATTGAAATCATTTGCAGATTTTGTAAAGGTGATTAAAATGCTATGATCTCCCGTGGTCTGGTTCTTGGATTCTAATGTGATAAAACTGTTTTTCCATTGCATCAGATTGCTGCTGTGATCTTTCCACGAGTAGAAAAGCTTAAATTCCATGGTGGCAGGAGATTTCAAGAGATGGGAAATGAAGCTCCTCATGAAGAAGTAAATGAGATGTTAGGTATTTTCTTAAACAGAATAGAGATTCTCGGTTCTGTTCGGTGACAATAACATTTCTTTTCGTGATTTGAAGTTTCAAACTATTTTTTTGGAAATCAGTTATAATCTGCCCACGAGCAAAGACATGCATATGGCTGATGAGTACTACGATCAGGTACAACTTGAAATCTACTTGGTATGTTTCATTGTTATTTACTAATTCTTTTTCAACTAATTAAAGTACAAAATTAGTAAAAGAGACCCAGGAGTAGGAAGGTGCAAGATGGAAGCTGTTTAACCGACTATTATCTTCATTTGTTCATGTTGTTGTCTTACTATATCTAACAAATTACTAAATCCTATTCCTATGTTATGTCTCGGGGGAAATTGGGTTATTTTGCAAAGTGTACGATTCTTGAATAGCACGAATGGTCTATATAGCTGATGATATGCATCTTCAGTTGAATTATGTCTGAACAGGTTCCGAGACAGGGAAAGGGAGAGAAATAAAGAAAGAGAGGTAAGGGGCAAAGATGGGGACAGGTGTAGAGAAGGCACTAGAGACGAAACTGGTTTTGGAGGTGAGCTTTTGACATTTTTTTTTTCGGACAGTTACCTTTTTGCTTCAATGCGTGCATCTCTGTTTAATAGGTTCTCATTGTATGGAATTGTTCCTTTGGTTGTGGGTACATATTTCTCCCTGTCAATTTCAGCATTTTATTTCCAAGTTTTTCCTACTGTCTGTGTATCTCATGTTGCTGGTTTGGTTGGCTTTATTGGCCATTTTACTTAGCTTGCATGCTACTCGATGGTCCTCACTTTCTTCAATTTCGTGTGCAAAATTGTGGTCTGCAGGTGGACGTGTGGATAGTTTTGACAGGTTTGGCCGTTCATACTATTTGCGTGTGTTGCCTATTGGTTGTTGTTGGCCTGTTTTTATTTTCCCCTTTTTATATGTTGTTCGCTATTTGTTCGGGTTTTGGTTGTGTTTGTGCATGCACAAGTGGCTTCTTTTTCCCTTTTTCTTAGATTTCTTTTGAAAAAAAAGTGTCTTCCTGTTGTTGGTGATCTTGCTAGATTTGATTCTCTCTCTGGTGCTCTTTTTCCATTGTTTTAATGGCCTTGTGTTTGTGGCTGGATTGAATGGTAGCCTGTTTGTTGTGTTATTGGGATTACATTTCTTGTTGCATTTTTTTGTGTGCCTCATTTCAAATGTGTGTTGCTTTGCTGTGACAGAATATGGCCTGGTGGATCGTCGTAGTTATGTCTTGGTGTTTTTAACAAATGTACATTTGGTGTTGCGATTGTTTTACAGGTGCTGCTGTGTATGGTGGACTAGTGGTGCCTTAATTCTCTGGTTAGCCTTAACTAATTTACTTTCCATCTATGTTCATTTATTAAAAGGTTTTAGTTTTTGGGCAGCATTGATTTGGTGTGCTATATATTCGTTTAACGAATAATGATGATTGTGCTGCTAGGTTGGAGATTAAACTTTAATTATTGCTGTGGTGGATCGTGGTGCCTTAAACTTTCAATTTCGCTTGGGACATTGTCAAAATCATAATGTTCAATTTGGTGGATTGAGTAGGCAGGTTGATTTTATCCTTTTGAAAAATATGTTAGTTATATTTGTTTGTAAATTGAATTTATATTTGTTCGATTATAACTGATATTTGGATCAATGTTCATGTAGATAAAAGATATGTTCTTGACAAACATGTTCTGATGGAGGGAAAATTGTAAGGAGTGATCATATTACAGCCCCTCTATTATGTGAATTAGGTGAATGCTTATTAAAAAGTTGGCATGGTCTATTTAATTTTTAGCATGATTGTAGATGTTTGATTTGTAGCTACTTTTTATATTCTCACATAGATACATTGAAAAGAGTGTAGGAAACCATAAAGTGGGAAATTTGATTTAGATTGTTTTGATTGTGCTTATAAAATTAATCTAAGTTCAGGTCTTTTTGTTTGCTGCTTAGAGAGAGAGAGATGCACAACAAAAATGAGCAAAAATCAAGAAAAAAAAACTCAATTTCCCACCCATTACAAACCTTGTACTCTGTTACCAAAATCTTGTAGCAATGTATTCAAAAATATTTTGTTTTTGAGTAAATGAAGAGATAGTAGGTTGGGATGTGCGTATTTAATCTGTGACGCTTAACACTTGAGTAGGGGATAATAACAATAATATGAGAGAATTTTCAGACGTCAACTGCCACAAAAGTTGTGTAATGAGGCCTTTATGGTTCAAGATTATTTTCTTAACAAGCAGTGCACAAATTGGCAATTGATTCCAATGCTCATTATCAGTGATGACAAATTTTCACTGTACTTTTAGACTAAATTTGAGTTCGTCGTGCGTGCACGGCGTGAGCCAACTAGTATATATATATATATATATATATATTGATGGGTCTACTTCTGGATCTGGAGTAAACCGGTGGTTGTGAGCTCAGATCTGCTTGAACCGTCTTTAAACCGTTGCTAGACCGCAAGAATACCTGCAAAAACTCAACGCCGGAGGTGTTTCCGGCGTAGAGCCTCCGACGCTCAAGTCAGTATAAGAGTGATGAAGAAGGGCTGTGCAGCAGCTATGGGGGAAAGTGAGAGTGAGTCAGAGTTGGGGTTTAGGGTTACCTCATCTCCTTTATATAGGAGTGAATACTTACGTGAAGTGCCCAAAGTACCCCAATCGGTGGACCTAGAAGGTCCAAAATGCCCTGGTCGATTCGTCTCCCCTTAGTGCTGAGTCACCGCAAGATTTCTTCTTATCTGTCATGATATGTAGGATTTCGAGTATATTGCAAGTATGATGAATCGTCATCCTATCTTTGTTACTCGAGGTATTCGAGGTCGACTTCGAGATCATAGAAGTCGACTCGTGGATACGTGCGGGTTCGGAAGCTACGCTCGACTGGTTCTGTGAGGCGAAGTCGTCCTCAGAGAGTCGTCTTAGTTCAGTCGACTCCTGGGAGCCCGAGAGCCGTACTCTCGCTGTTCCTCTTCTTAGTGATGTCGATTAGTGAAAGTCGATAGGTTAAGGTCGACTAGACCCATCTCTGCTTCTTCTTGATTGCTCTTAATAGAATCGTCCTTAGGGAAGTCGATTGGGGCATGTCGAAGGACTCATGTCGACATGAGGGTAATTCGAGTGGTTCATTGGTTGAGTAAGGATCTTCTGGACCGGGTTATACTTATGTGGCTATATCATCTAGTCCCCCCCAAAAATTACTCTAAGCAGTCGACTGCTTAAGAGTAAATTTGGTGAAATATAATTGTCGCTTTCCCGTCAACCTTGTTCGTATTGATTTCTTTGGCAACTCGTCTCGTCAATCAATTAGGGTATGCTCCATCCCCATGATTGTTCTTTCGGATCAGTCTGACACTCTGACAGGCCCATTTCAAAATTCAAACTTTAGAAACCCTAAAATGACGCGCGTCATTTCCTTCGCCGCCTCTTCGAATTCCGTGCCTCATCAGGATCGTTGGTTCCCTTGGTGATCCAACGGCTCACGCCCAATATTGCCTTCTATAAATACACCTTCATTTTTCAGGAAATCACTTTTCGCCTTCCCGAACTCTCTTGCTCTCTCAAGCTTCCTCAGATTCTCCGGCAATCTCTGCTCTTCGGCTTCACCGGCGTTCGTTTTCTCCGACACCTCCAAGCTTAACCGCAGTTCAAAACAACCACGCCATCATGTGTAAGTTCTCTATCTCTTTTGCGTTTTTGTTGGTTTTTCCTTCAACTTTTTCTGGGTTTTGGGGAATTTCTGAAGTTCATACGTGTTCTTCATGAATTTCTTACGGATTTTGCGTTCAATCTTTCTACGCGCATATTCTGCTAGGATTCGTTGTTTTTGCTAGTCGCTGGCTACCGACAACTTTTCTCTTCTCGAGTCGACTAAAGTCGATTTATTAGTTTGTTTAAGTCGAGATACCGATAGCGATTGTCCCCTCTGTCCTTTCTTCTTCTGTCGACTGTTGTGAGTCGTCTTGATTCGGTCCTGTGGGTTCTAACTTGTGACTTTACTAACTTCGGCCTCCTCCCCCCTTTTCCTTTTCTTAGCTCTCGACTCGTCTTCTCTCTCTGGGTCCCTTGGTCAGCAAATCAACGATTATATCCACCATGTCGACGAGGGTTCTAGCTCTGATTCAGTTGAGGTAACCGGCTATAGGATGGTTTCACCGCCTTCCCATTCTTCTCCTCCTCTCGCCACTGCTTCTTCTGTCGACTGGGCGCTGCACGACCAAGCGCTCTTGGAGGGCGGCTTAGTCGATATCGTGAAAAGCCCTCCTCGAGGAAATCTTCCTCGTCTCGATATCATTCCTCGAGGTATTCCTCTTAGGTTTTTAGATATCCCTGTATATAGAACGAGCCCTGTATCTGTACCAATAATTGCTCCCCTTCTTGACTTTCAAAATGTTGTATCGATAGCTTGTCCCTTGGCTAGGTTAGCTGTTCTAAATCTATTTTGTTATGCCTCTGCAGCCGAAGTCGAGGGCTTCAGAAAGTTCAGTGGGCTTCCCTCCGATTGGGAGTTAGTCGCCCCCGGTCCTAACGACGATTTCGCCCATCCTCCCCCCGGCTGTCATACGTTCTTCGTAGATCAAATCGTCTTTGGCCTTTGTTTTCCTATTCAAGACGAGCTCATACTAATAAGCAATCTGTACAATATACCCATAAACCAGTTTTCTCCTAACGCCATTCGCATTATGATAGCCTTCATAGTCGTTTCTCGTATAAAACTCAATTTCTTTTCTCCCGACTTTTTCTTTTATTGTTATGGTTACCGGCTTTCCAAAGGCGCCCACTGTTTGGGTCGTCGTGCTGGTGTTACCTTTCTCGACGATCTTTCGTCGAACGTCACCGAGTGGAAGTCGAAGTTTGTCTTCATTCGACCTGCTTCGGGCATGTACCCTTATGTAAATACTTGGATTACTTCGAAGGTGAAACAGAATAAAAGGCCTCGCTCTGACGAGTTTGCCCAACTGTTGTCCGAGCTGAATAAGCACACTTACAGTGCTCGTCAGTTAATCAAAGATCGTGATTTAGTCAATCACGCGCGAATCGTCATTTACGAGGATCTTCCTCGTCTCGATGATCCCCGTAAGTCTTTTGGATATATGTATTTGTGCAACTGCTTTGTAAATTTCGATCATTCGAATCATGATTACTAAGTGTTCTTTATTAACTAACTTTTCTTCTATTATTTCAGTTAAAGCTCTAAAACGCTTCGAGCTCAAGAAGGGCCAGTCGTCTGGCCAGCCGACTGGCGGTTCTGCTCCTCTTACTCGCCCTTCGCGCCCAGCTGGTGCGGCAGCCGAGACGACTTCTGCACAGAAGTCCAGGGTCGAGAACCCTGGCACCACCCAGAACAAGCCGTCGGGCTCGAGCTCCCGCAAGCGGGCCCAAGACGACCGGGCCGTCGTCCTGATCCCAGACGACCTAAAACGCCAAAAGGTCGAGAAGGGGAAAGGGAAGGCGGTTGAGAAGCCCGCCAAGACCCCCATTACCGTCCAAGACGTGACGGTCAAGATGCCGTCTCGGCTTTAGAACCATCCTGAGCCTTATCAGGTGGCTCAGTACCTCCATTCGACTATCCCCGACGTCGACAAGGAGCGTGTCGAGGGGACTCTTTACGAGCGTTCGAACTACGCCGTTCTATGCCTCTCTCGAGTAATTTTCTTATTTTCAAACTCTTATCGTCGTGCTTTTCTTTAACTTCAAATTTTGCTAACTTCAATGTTTTTGCTTCTGTTGGCAGTTTCTGGCCGCAGCGCTCCCTTGCTTCGAGGAGACGTGCAAGGCTCCCCTTGCCTCTACTAAGTCTCTCGAGGACAAGTGTGAGGCTCAGCGCCAAGAAATCGAGGCACTAAAGGAGGATCTAGAGGCCTCGAGGGCCCTTGTCGACAAACTGAAGGCCGACAAGGCGGTGTTCCGCCATTTGAATGATAAGCTCAAGGCCGACCTCGACAAGGCTCGTGACGAGGTCGTAGTCGAGAGGGAGAATGGTGTCGAGGCGGGGCGAAGGACGTTTTTGAAGTCCCCGATGGGCGCCGTCTTCCTCGAAACCTACCGTCAAGAGCTCGTCAAGGCCTTCTGCAACTCTCCTGCCTTTCTCGACAAGCTCTGTCCCGCCACCCTTCAGTATTTTGAGCATACATTTGCCGCGTGGGAGGCGGTGGTGGCGGGTTCTGAATTCGAGGGGAAGCTCGACCGCGAGGCGGTTAAGGAGACGCTTCCCTTCCCTGAGGGCTATTCGGGAGACGCTCTCTCCCCGACGACTACCCCTGGTGGTCGGGACTCGAGGCCTGGGCCATTCGCAAGGCCGGCCTAGGCACGCAACTCGAGGTTCCTCCCACCCCCTTGTTCGGTCCGACCGAACTAGTCGGGGCAAGTGGGGCCAGTCGGGAAGAGGCAGTCGAGGTGAGGGATGAGCCGCAGGGCACCGAGCCTCTTGTCGATAAGGACGGCGATGGGGAGAAGTCGGCTACGGTGGTGATGGATGGTGGGGACGACACTGCAGAGAAGTCGGATGCCGACTCTTGAATGCGTGTCCAATTTGGGGCTGTGCCGCTGCTTTTGTTTCTTTTGTTTTTTGTTTGTTTGTTTGTTTTTTTTTGTTTGTCGTTCTCGGCCCATTTTCGAGTATTGTAAGGGTCGAGACGACTGATGATGTAATGCATTTCCTGAGTTAATATAATCCTCTTTCCCTTTCACTGCTTGTGTTTGCTGTTTTTCAAATTATTTTCGTTGCGACTTCCCGTATGCCTTCTCCCCCAACCCTTTTTGTGAGCTGGTCGAAGTCGAGCTAGGTTATGAACAGCTTCGTAGCTGTG